TGGGGGGCGCGTGCGGGTCCGTCCCCGCGCCGCCGGAGCCCGCGGACGCGGCCGAGCCGGGCGCATCCCCGCCGGGTGAGGCGCTGCCCTTCGCGGCTGTTTTCCTGTGAACCCGCTAGGGAAAGTTTGGGGCCACGCGAGGCGAAGTTGGGGCGCGCCTGGGGCTCGCTTCACCCGCGGAGGGCAGATCCCGGGGAGCCGGGCGCGAGGGCAGAGGGAGCCCGGTTCCGACGCAGCAGCGCGGCGCCCCGGAGCGGGTCGCTGCGGGCCGGGCCGGCGAGGTAACCCTCCCGAGCTCGGAGAGTGGCTTCCTCGCTGGGGCGCAGCGCCCACATCCGCAGCCAGCCCGGGGCGCGGTGGGCTTGGGTCGTGTCTGGAGCCGCCGCAGCTCAGCCTGCAGGGACCGGGACTGAGCGCCGGCTAATCGCTGGTTGTATGTGGCGTCTGTTCAGTGAGCTTATTTTACACCTGAGATGATCTGGGTGAATGGCTCTAAAATGAAATCACTGATACAGGAAAAGATGTTCTTAAAAGATAATTAAAAAGAGGAACTCTCACTGTGTCAGCTGTCCTGTCTGCTTATCTTATCAGTTTTTCTGTGGAATCAAGAATGAAAATCCTGCTGTACATATCTAACCTATAAAAGGTTCAGTATTGGGGTTGAGGCAGATTGTGTGGACAGAATATAGCTATTCCTTGCATATTGTTTATGGAATACCCTACTTGTTATTTTACTGCATGAGCACTTGTTTAAGCTATTTGAAGTAGACCAAAGGTGTTTCTCTTAAGGCTTTAGTAGAAAACAGCATGTAGACGTTTTAAGAAAACAGGTTGTTCATGTTACCAGGACAGTTTTTTGCAAAGTTAAATTTTTGAAGAGCTACTTTTCTGCTTCTGATATAGGACTTTTCATGAACCGTGAGATCTTGAGATTTCTGCATCTCAAACTCAACCCTTTCCAAAGGACAGATTAAATCAGAAAAGTGTATGCACAATAGAGAATTATGTAATTGGACTAGAAGGAAACACAGGGAGTAAGAGTCCCTTGTCAAGAACCTAGATATTTCTGAAAGAAGGGGGATACTTTTAGCCCTGGAAGATGTTGTTACACGTTTTAAGGTGAAGAAGCTGATTGTCTTCTATTAGTATAGTATAGTATTTTTATACTTATACACATCTCTGCTTTTACATCTAATGTTGGATTTACCAAGACGGTTGTAAGTCTAAGTGCCAGCTGTTTGTCCCTTCCGCCTCTAAGTACCGCATGGGTGGTAACTCACCTTAAAGCAGCCCTGTGAGGCTAAGGATGTAGTCCGCGAGGCGCAGCTTGCTGAGCCCCGCTTGAGGCCAGGTGGAGCACTTGCCTAACGGTCTGTCTGCAGCACTGGGAAAGAGGAAAAACAAATCAGCAACCTGGACGTTAGGAACTGGGGAGAGAGAGGAGTTATGTAACTTACCCATGACTGCAGGACTGGACTTTTTCACATCTGTGAAGTTCTTTCTGTGTATAAAAAAAGATGTGATTTGTGTCATTTACTTACTCTTGTTTCTACTCTTATTTTAGCATAAATGAAGAGAGCTTCCCGCGAAGCCTAAGAGGCCCTGACTGTGGAGGTGCCGCATGAGGGCTGGTAGCTGAAACGGGAGGAAGAGCACGACTGAGCCGTCCCTTGGATCTGAACTTTGAAGATCACCAGCTCCACCACAATGCCCACGATGGATCTTCATCAGAGCACCACTGTCAGCCTCCCTGAGAAATGGTGTTTGGAGGCCTCACTGCCCGGCTGCAGGAGACAGCGTATTGTGAGGAAAAAACTGAAGTTAATTCGGATCTTAGGCCTTTTCATGGGCCTGGTAGCCATTAGCACTGTTCCATTTTCAATCAGTGCCTTTTCTGAGACTGACACACAGAGCACAGGAGAGGCCAGGGCTGTCAGTGGCACTGGTGTGGCACACAGTTACCATCAAAGGACACTCTTAGATTTAAAGGACGAGATTTGGGATTACACTTCGCAGCCACCTCCTTCTCAGGAAGGCAAGTCTGAGAACAGTACAGATCACGCTCAAGGAGACTACCCTAAGGATATCTTTTCCCTTGAGGAGCGAAGAAAGGGTGCCATTATTCTCCATGTTATAGGAATGATCTACATGTTCATAGCCTTAGCCATCGTGTGTGATGAGTTCTTTGTTCCTTCGTTGACCGTCATCACTGAAAAGCTCGGCATCTCTGACGATGTGGCTGGAGCTACCTTTATGGCTGCAGGGGGGTCGGCCCCAGAGCTTTTCACGTCCCTCATAGGAGTGTTCATTGCCCACAGCAACGTGGGCATAGGCACAATCGTAGGTTCGGCAGTGTTCAATATCCTCTTTGTTATTGGGATGTGTGCTCTGTTTTCTAGAGAAATCTTAAACCTAACATGGTGGCCACTCTTTCGGGATGTGTCCTTCTACATTGTTGACTTGATCATGCTGATTATATTTTTCCTGGATAATGTTATCATGTGGTGGGAAAGCATGCTTCTCCTAACAGCTTACGTTGGCTATGTGATTTTCATGAAGTTCAACGTCCAAGTAGAAAGATGGGCGAAGCAAGTGATAAGTCGCAATAAAGTCGTCAAAGTGGCAGCCCCAGAAGTTCAACCAAAGGTTGGTGGTGATGGTTTTTTATTCAGTGCTTTTCCTGACCATAGTTCTGAATTGCTATTTTTGAGATCTGCAACTTCTTCTGATACGGTAGCATTTGGGGCTGTAGGGAATAGTAGATTGCACTCTATGGTTTTGTGCCAGACTAACACGACAGTATAAAAGATAATGTGGGGGTGTTCTTCTAGATGTCCGTCAGGTTCCCCTGCTACTGGCTTCAGAATAAAAACATTTGTGCAGATGGGTTACATAAGCATCCCAGAGCAGATTCAGCACTTAGCAGCCTTTCAGCTTTCAGGGAGCTAGGCTTGCTGATTCTGAGAGCAGTTTGATATTCATGGGAAAGCGTGTGCTTCGTGGCAAGCTGCAGGGCTTTTGCCTGTTACATGGGCACATGGGAGTTACGCAGAGCCATCTCTAAAGGTTGTTGCCCAGTCACCAGCCTGGGGCCAAGGATCTGGCCCTCGGAGTGGTCGTGGTTGCCTTGCTTTTTACTTTATTTGGCAGCAATGGGGCTGGAGCCCACAGCCTTGTACTTGTAAGGCCAGTGCTGTCGCTGAGCTTTGCCCTCTAGCCCCATTGCTACTTTTTTGGTCTATACAATCATATTTCAGATCACTTGACCAGTATCTAATTAACATGCACGTAAAGAGAGTCACTGCCCAGCCCTGCCACCTGCCTCTACGATAGAGGCCAGTTTTGGTCACCCTAGGACACATGGCCCAAGGTTTTTACAGTAGAGTAGGAGGGAGTTTTAATGAAAGTAGTGACGGTCCTACTGCTTAGTGGAGAAGCAGATTGATAAAGCACTTACAAGAAAATAATTTGCAAAAATGTGAATTAAAAAAATAATACATAAGTAACATCAGTAAAATTTTGTGTATTGCCACGATGCAGTCCTGGTTATAGCTTAACAGTAGAATATCATCTTTGAGTATGACTTTAAACAGAAAACCCAAATACTGTATGTACATAGGTTTCACGCTGTTATCTGAAGAAATTCTCATGTATATAAAAAACAGCTATCTGAGGAGGTGTAAAAGATTTTGCCCACTAAGAAAGAAAAAAAGATACTACTTCAAGTGTGCATAATTATTTTATAGTCAAGTTGAGTAACTATCATTTTTAGCAGCCATGATGTAGAAACAAAATCAGGAAAACAAGATATAGAGGAAAATATATAGAAGTGACTTTCCTGTTTATTGCATACAAAGGGGGCATGTTCTCGTACTGTATTTTTCCACATACCTCTCAGTGCATGGTTGCTTGTTAGAAATTGTAGTATAAAAAATCACTTAGCAAAATATGCAGCAATCATGCATCTGGATGTGCCAAATGGGTGCATCCCCTTGTGGGCAGAGGACAGGGCCATCGCTAGAGCCTCGCTCTGCCTTCCCTAGTTTGGAACCAAAGGGATGCACCTCCAGACCCTCTCCTCAAGCCCGAGTGGGTGAATCAATAGTCTCAGTTGATTCAATCAGAATAATAAATTATTATGAAGGAAAGGCATATTTTTAGAGGCAGAGAAATAACTTGGTGACTTAGAAATAAGTTGGGCACATCACCAGTGAAAGGTCTTTGGGAAACTGCGTACTTTTTTATAACACTGCAGCTCAAGTCCGTAAACTTAGATGCACACCTTGGTTGCAGGTTGTGCTAGCAACATCAGAAAGGGGCTTGCAGAGGAATCCAGTGGGGTGTGTGAAGCTGGAGGAGAGTTTGATTCTGATGTTAGGGGTGGCGGGAGTACATTTAGAAAGGAAGGTCTTAGGTCCAGGTTGCAGGCTACATTTAATCAGTCATAAAACATTCGTCAAAATAGTTCTGGCAGGATTGCTAGCTATGTGGTTAAGCCTCTGTCATGTCCAGCAACATGTGAGTCAGCAGTTCAGACTGACATTCTCTAGCAGCTGTCCTTCAGATCGTGTTTGTGCTATGCTCAATACTCTTTGATAATTTATAAATTCTGAATATCACATAATGTTTTTATGTATTTAGTGCAGTGTCTACAGGGTCTCACTACACAGATCGGACTTGTAGTAATTCTCTTGTTTTCAGCCTCCCAAGTGCTGGGATTACAGGCGTGCACCACTGCACCCAGGCTCAATCACTGTCTCTGCGCCGCGGGAGTGAGGCCAACATGGCAGGCCAGGAATCGACCCTTAAGCCCCTGCGCCTGTCTAAGTAGGCGCTTTATCTGCTGAGCTATTTATCATATAGAATCAAGTAATTATTATAAGAATCAAATAATTCTTTCAAAATCATATCTTCAGTTGCCTAAGTGCCTGCCTAGCAAGTGCAAGGTCCTAAGATCTATTCCTGGTCCGAAAACAAAAGCATGTCTTATTCTTAACTATTTCTCCCACTTCCGATTCCCTCCACATGTTCTTGTATTACTTTTCTTTTAATGCCAACTAGTTGGAATTTATTCCATTTAATTATAATTGTCTCTTTTGGCATTTCATAACTAACAGAAATGGACTCTTTCACAAGCCATGTCTTACTGGATATACCCCACCCCCAATGCAGGACAGTTGTACCACTTTTTAGATGGAGTAATGCGCCATGTATGATTTCTCTTAGGAATTCATGTTTGAATTTTTGCTGGGATTCTTTTTCAGCAATTACTGCTTTTATCATATTCCTGATTACAGAATCCGATGGAAGTTTGCTCTCCACTCCGGGAGCATAAGGGGTCCCAGGGCTGGATCCCTGAGTGTGGCCACACAGCCTGTGGTCTGCAGAGTTAACAGCTGGCCATGTAGCCTGGCCTTCCTACAGATCAGTGCTCTGACACAGTCATAATGCTTAGGAAAAGACCATAAGCCACGTGTGACCATCAGTGGGATCTTTGGGTGGTAGTCAAGAATTTGGAAAGTGTGATACTAAGCATATTTTCATGTAGACTAACTTCATTGTCTTATTTGTACAATTACAGTGCATGGGAAGTTGAAAAAGTAGATGAAACAATTGTACATATTCTCTTACACATTATCAGATGGCTCTTGTCAAAGAATTGTCACTGCTGGGCTGTGAGCGGTGAAATAGCTCTTAAGCTACTTGCTTCATGAACAAGTTGAAATCTTAATTTGGTTCCACTGGGGCTGACACAGGCCACGAGGCAATGTGGAGCCTAAAAGTGTGAGGTCTTGTTGTTTTCATCAGGTAGTATATGCCACCTGTGTGTGGTTCTGAAATTTATTGTTACTATTTGTTTTTTTAATGATACCACTGTCTTTTCTAGAAAGTTGTAGTGCCAGTATGTGGGAGAAACCCCAGGACTTTGGTGCAGGCAGCGAAGAGCTTTCGGCCCTGCTGTGCAGTAAGCCCAGTAGCCTCGGAGAAGCCATTGAAGCTCACTGAGCCTCAGCTGCCTGATTTGGAGAATGAGGCAAACAGCAGCTGCTTTTTGAGGCTGGAAAGACGCTCACGTGGATGTTAGGCATCTAACGCAGTCCTTCACATTTGCTTGTTGAACAAGTGCCGGTTCCCTCCTTTCATGTTCTGCTCTTAAATGAAAAGCGAATCAGGATGAATTATTTTAGGTTTGCAAATTACAAAGCAGTCCTTGAAGGTTGAATTTACTCTAGTGAATCATTGAGTTAAGCAAGTTTTGCACTCTTTAGAGGCATATAATATTTGTCATATTACAATATTCATAAGGCCTAATTCCTATACAATGAATATACACGTCTAAATATTACTGTAATCTCCAAGAAAACCTCCAAAAACTTTTTGGGCCTGGAATTTTATTGTAAAGGATTTTGTTTGAAATAAGAAGGCCATTGGCTGAAGTTCAGAAGTGTCTGTACTAAGCAGAGACTTTTCTACTCGTAAACGACAGTGCCATCTTCTTAAAGTGTCTCTATAGCTGGTTAGGAATAAGTTTGAACCATAGAGGATAAGATTCAGTTGAGCTGCTGGGATCCAGCGCACTTTGCGGAGTGCCCGGCTGGATCCTAGCATGCTGCCCATCTGGTTGGTGCTAGGCTGTTACAGGCTGGAAAGCAGCTGTCCATGGTATTTAACTTCTTAGGCTCAGTGCTGTAATCTGACAGCAAGTCAGCCAGGTTCTAATAAAGGAAATGATCCAAGAAAAGATGCCTAAAGCTGGATCGTTGGAGTGGTAAACCCCTTAGCAATTCAGGTGTTCCTTGTTTTGTTCAGTTTGTGTGTTCCTGCATTTTGCAGTTCAAATTGTTAATTCATATTCTTGGGAAAATCAGAATGAAAACAACATGCACTAAAATTCCTTATACAATGAAGTGATTCTTCTAATGTAGCAAATCATTAATAATTTTGTTATTTACACATGTGCAGCTCCAAGCTTGCTCCAGATTCAGAATCTATTATAGAACTGAACCCACTCAAGACAAGATAATCCTTGCATAAATGAAAGTATGTATACTGATTGTCAGAATAGCAATCTGCTAGTTTAAACAAAATGCAGCTGTATTCTGTTTATGAGAGATTTATCTAAGACAAAAAATATTGAAGGGCTGGGGAGATAGCTCAGCAGTCTAAGCGCCTGCCTGGCAAGGGCAAGGACCCGAGTTTGACCCCCAGTACTGCATGCTGTGCCAGCCACAGCACTGTGCTGCACGCCTGTAATCCCAGGCTGGGGAGGCTAAGGCAGGAGGATCACTATGAGTCTCAGCTGTGTAGTGAGGCCCTGTATCAAATAAATTTTTTTAAAAAAAGAATATTGAAAATGAATGCATGGAAAAAGAAAACATGTAAACCAAAGTAAAAGGGGAATCAAAGGAAAGAAAATTTAGACATTAAAATTCATAATTAGATGCCTATGAATATAGTACATGTGTTTATACAGGGAGAGAGCACGGGGTATCTGCCTTACTGTTTCCCTCTATCACTGCATGCAATTCTGAGAGTGAACAGGGCACTTCGAGAGACCCAGGAG